TTCATGATATTATTGTAAGCTTATATTCATACGTCATAAATTCAAATAACACATTTCTAAATCATTCTAAACAGTTGGTTTAAACATATTTATTCCCAGTACATACAAATATACAACAAACAAAATATTTTTTTACAAAATAGAGAAAGACGAGTATTTTAGAATTCTTCTAATTTGGCGAACACTATGGCTTGTACGGAAGCGACCTGGTGCCAATTGAACATGTTCTTTAAAAAAAGATCACTCCTTGTAGAACTTTTTAACTCCTTCGTAGGAGATAACAAAAAGCCGAATTAGTCCTTATTAGTCCTTTTAAACTTCTACGTAGGAAATAAAAAGCTTAATTATTACTCCTACGTAGGACTTAATAACTCCTACGTAGGACTTTAAACTCCTAGGTAGGACTTTATTAGTGCTACGTAGGACTTTCTACGCAGGAGTTATTTAGCCCTACGTAGGAGTTTAAAACTCTTAATAAGTTTTTTTTATCTCCTACGTAGGAGTTATCATTTTTTATAGAACAAGTTAAGTTGGCACCACGACGCTTCCATAGGTTTGTCTTAAATAAATAAATAGTTAGAATATACTAGAAATTATATTCTTAACAGTTGAAAAGGTCATAAATTTTAAAGCTCGAAAGATTTACGTCAGTGAAGCAAAGAAAAACTCTTGTAAATGACATGTAAACAACAAACCTTGAAGTGAAAAATCACGGAAGGTAACGCGCATATTTAATATAATACTGCCGCCACATTTGACTTTATCTTTAAATTAATATGTTTTTGAATATACAAAACATAAACGTTTAAAGTTTAGTATACGGATACATTTAGTTTAAATCAATATCATGCATATTCTTTACCGACCTCGTTTGCGGCATGCACAAAGATATATCGACCCGGCGATTTGCAAATATCTCCTTAGAGTTGTCGTCCGTGTGTTACACAGATATAATTATGTATATAATCAAAGGGCTGCAAGCTCTCTTGTATTTTCTCATTTTTGCAATCTAAATCGTACTGTATATTTTTATATACTATAATTCATCTTACAGGGCACCGAGATGCAGCGACTGTGCTTAGATTTTTTACCATAACAGTTTGAGTTTGATACATTAGGAATTTTGCATGACTAGGTTGCATCAAATAATCATTTATGTCCATTTTTTATGACAGCCACACTTTATCGTGGCTACTTCCTTAAAAAAGACACTTAAAAAAGTTGCCCTAAACGAGCGCGTTAGCCGCTGCACCACGGGGAAGTTATACGAAGAAAACCTGAATAAAATCAAATAATTCTAAATTTGGAATTTCCATTTCGGGTTTGTAATACTTATTAATTTCGAGGAATTTTGTGCACGATAAACTTGTTGTTTAACATTGATTGAAAATCTTCTCGCCAAAACAGTCCGACATGTATATATTCCACTACTCGACAGTTAGATTTATTTGTGTAATACAATCTGAAGTATTCGGTAATCGACATCGCTAAAAATAGCATTTTCATAGAATAAAATGATATTCATCCGCGTAATTTGTGATTGTGCATTTTTGACAATTCTATAAGCCAACGCTACTTTTAAACTTTGAATGCGTTGTAATTTGTTGGATACTTGTAACAAAATAAAAAAAAAATCTTTCTTTACTTCGCTTCGCTAGTTTAAAGCTGTTTTGAGAACTACTTGTTGTTAGGTTTGTCTAGAAATTCTGTGTCAGAGATTAAATGTCAGCATTGTATTTCCTGATCTGCGATCAGAAAATACAAAAATGCACATAGTACCAGCAGTTCTTCTTTAATCACAAATTTACCTTGTATGTATGTAATCTATAATTAATTAGTCTTCATCCGTCTGTTAAAAAGGCATTAAAAGCAGCTTTCGCTGTCGATCACGGACCCGGACATGTCAGCAGGCATGGCCTTAAATAGTATATTTTGAAACACAGAAGTGGAATAATTTACCTCCGTGTAATTACCACAGAATATTAGTCAAAGAAAGGAATTTTGAGCCAGCCGAGAATAGATCACTGTGCAGCGGAAGAAGATTAGTCCTGGGAAGGTTTTTGTGCCAGCAAAAGGCACCGCCATTCAAGCCAACTATTCCTTCCAGAGACTCGTGCACCCTAGCACCCCTCGTCTTAGTCTCTGTCACATGAAATGGCGAGTCCCCACACCTTCAGTCAGGACATCAGCAGCTTACTCATACAGTCGTGCTACTTTAAACGAAACCCTGATATGTATAAAGTAAGCGACACATTGCTGTGGATCTTCAATCATCTATCGATGTCCTTTGCCTTCTCCTTCACGTGCTATTACCCAGGAGAGAAGGCAATTTTACCTCTTTTACTAGCTGCATGCATCCAGATGAGCAAAAATATTTCAAGAAAATCAAACTTGAGAAAAATGTAGTAATAAGATTAAAAAAAGAAAAGTGATTCAAGATTGAAGCAAAATTTACAGGTTATATGCGATTAATGACTGAGTTTCCAGTCCTTATCACAATATTTTCAATGCGTGACTAACACAGTATAGCTATTTTTGCATATTTCATCTATTTTGATAATTTACGTGAATTGTAAGTGGCGTTTGCAATATGTAAATGACTCTCTTAATTCACTTCACAATAATCAGCATTTAAATTCTTTTTAAAACTTTTTCAAAATTTGGAGGTATGCTGTTTTGATATAGTCCTTCGGATGGTGGGGATGGTGTTGGTAGTTTTTAATCAGGATCACGACAGTTTGCCATATTGATTCACCAGAGCACAGTTCATCGCATCGTTCCTGGGCAGGCTGTCAAGCAGTTGACCAGTATTAGTCGCAAGGTACTCAAAAACTTCTGTTAATGCCAGAGCAGAGGTACAGTGCGAATGAGCGTAGAAAGGATTTCATGATCAATCACAACGAAAGTGACCTGCGCCGCCCGGGAATCGAACCCGGGTCGCCCGATTCACTGTCCAACGCTCTACCTATTGAGCTAACCGGACGGCTTAATAGTCATACTGGATCAGCCCAGAGTCATTTAAATAGAAAGACCCTGATTAGCGTGGTTATTTACAATTGTCAATCGCATGATGACAAAAGGAAAGTTATGGTGCAGAAGAAGAGACTGTGATATTCAGCAATAAAAAAAGTATTTTTTACAGCCACGATAGTTGTTTTTTTAATGTTAGATAACTTTATATTAAATCACTTTTGTTTTTGAACAGATAATTTTGATATTTTACCACTAGCAGAGACACGTTTATGTAGTAAAGAGGTTTTTTAGATACTGAGGGGCTTAACCATAGAAATGATAAAAAATGACCGAATTATCGGTTTTCCTAAGTTAAGTTTAGTGTAAATGAAATTTCTATATTAGATAAAAACTAAGAAGGTATTTTTATTAATATATAACACGAGTATTCAGATAATATTAATATGTCATGTGTATGTTAAATGCCACCTGAAAATTCGTCTAGGGCATATGATGTTCATATTCATTTGACAACAACAATGTATCTATGTCTTCAAATCAAGCACTGCCTTTTATTATCACTTAATAATTCTTAAGCAATTAAACTCAATTTTGACATGTCAACCTAATAGTTTGTTTACTTATTGATTATTTTTTTAAAGCTACATGCCTCCAATTAAGCCAAAATATTTTAAGAACATCGTTCTGAACATTTGTAAAATGTAATAAAAGTAAGATATTTTGAACTGAACAAAATATATTAATTTACATACAACGCTTACAAAACCACGTAAATCAAAATATACAAAAGCAGCCATTACTGTGTTAGTTACTCTGTGTTAAATACCACATTCAGTCATTAATCGCAGTGCACATTACATAATTACTTGAATCTTGAATCTTTTTACATTCCTTAAAATCTGAATACATTTTTTTAAGTTTTATCTTAAAATATTTTGATTAATCTGGAAGCATAAAGAAAAGCAAAACTATTAAAAATACAAGAAATAATATTCATGTTAAGGTCTATTTTTTCATATTCTGGCCCATTTTATGGTAGATTTTAAGTGCCGTTTGCAATGTGATAATTACTTTCATTGTTCACATTGACAATATTCTACTTTCTAATTCAATTTGATGTAGCTTTTTCATGAAAATAAGCATGTATCAGGAGGTATGCTGAAATAGATATGTAGATGTACATGTACTATGTATAAATAAGGGAGGTAAATCGGCAGTGTGTAAACACTGTGATGAAATGTGTTGTGGATTTATCTCCCTTAGTGACACTTTTCATACAGAAAAGGAAAAATAAGTGCCGGAAAAAGTAACATATAAATAAAACAAAAAACACAGTACATGAGTTAGCTTATTTAATTATTTTCATACCCCGGTTTCTCTTATGATCATCAGGGAAAATATATATTCATGTTTGATATGGTATTTATGTATATGAATTGATGTGATAATGAATAGGATCTAAACAAATGTCAACAACGGTTTAACAAAATGTTCATTTTTATTGTTTGCGTTGGTTTTACTTACTCAGAAGCTTCATATTGTGTCGACAGGGAAAGTGTTTTTACTTTTGCCTCAGATACGAAATTCAGCCCCTCGTTCAAACACAGTACAAACAGAAAGCCTCGTATTCCGATCTACTCTCTATTACTTATTTAAACCGTCTTTACGGACAAAAGGGTACAAAAAGATACACGTTGTTAACGATAAACAAGAGAAAGTGGCAACGCATACACCTGACATGGAAAGAAAGTAACGCGGCGGTAATCTCCAGTTGCTATTTCCGTTCATGCTTTGTCCTAGATTAAACCAAATGGAAAAACACCAAGTAATAAACAAGCACTTCAAGTTAAAAAATGAAAAACATGATCAACAAGCAAGGGCGGTATTCAAATAACGCATCAGCTCAACACAATCCAGCAACACAAGACCACCGAGAAGGAGCCCAGCAGGACACTTAAAAAACCTGTCGCCATGTTGAACAAATACGCTGTAAAATAAACTTGTCCGAGAAAATCGTCCACTATCCGCTAGAAGTCTTCTTTAACAATATGGCTATTTAACAGTTAAAAGATCCCTACAATAAGATATCGTAATCAAAACGTTGATGCGTTGAAAATCCAGCCGTGAGATATTTAGCCTGACTTAAATGGTTATTGATTTGCAAATCAACGAAGACCTATATCCATTTCCATTGTTTCAAATGGGTTTATTTCATTACATTTCTGTAATTACAGTACCTAAACATTAATTTGATGAATTGATTTTCCTTGGTCGATATGGTTAAAATATAGAACAGCACAGTTTCTTGCCTGTGTGCGTGTTTTGTGCTATCATTATTAAAGTTACTTAAAACCTTTTCATTACTAATACATTCAGTTGATTCCAAAAGCTTTTTCATTGTATACATGTAAAAATGTGTTCCAGACAACTACTTTGTATTTCCGTGTTTTCGGTTATGGGTGCTATCAGTTCGCTAACTACCATGTAAACGTGTTGATTGATCGGTATTCACGAGAACAACTTCGTGAATACAAAAAAAGTCTCGCTTATATCCAGTTTCTAAATCCTTTTAAAATGAAGTGAAGATAATAGTTCTCACTAAAAAATCCTCTTGGATTGCTCTTGATTTGTCCTTTAAACAAAGAAAAAATGTGTTACAGAAAACATTTGCCACGTCTCTGTCCCACAACCTCGCCCCTATTGCTTTTCCTGTAAAACTTACCGAGAAGGTTTACATAAATGTTCATATAAACTGTTGACACGCTCAAAAAGAGTTGGGTTTTTTTGTACAGTCACATATCAAACCTTTCTAAAAATCAGTCAATAAAAAATCCATCACGAATATACATACATGAACAAAGACACATGTACACAATGTTAAATGTTTAAAACAATACACATTCCTGCGAACTAGTATTGAAACGGAACCCCATTTCATTCAACTTCATTTAAAAACAAGGCTATCTCGTCCATCGATCTTTTTTTGTACAGAAATGTCTGTGCCATGTCTGCTTGGAATATACCGAGCACATATTGCATTCCTTGCCTTGTAAAATATCTACAAATAAATCGGTTTATAAACGCTGCTTGTGCTACATTTTTTCTTTACGCAAGTATGAAATAAAATCAAATTATGGCGCACAAACGTACGTTATACAAGATCGGAGAATAAATAAAATCTCAAAGAACGCTGCAATTGTTTTTTTATCATTATTTCCATTTTATGTATATGAGGAATAAAACGATAAACGATAACATATTAGAACAATTTATCAATTCTGAGATTTTTACAAAATGTAAGCGCTATAAAGCAACAAGGAATGAATAAAAACAAATATCAAAAATTATATCTGTCTGTTTGTGTGTATACTTTCAAATCAGTCTCACGAACTCCATCCTTTTGTTGAACTTGTATGTATAGATAATAGACTAACAAATTTTTAATACAATGTTGTTGTATAAATAAGTGAGATTACTTAACTTCTCTTTATGCATGTGTGCTATAAAACATATAATCAAAACAAATATTTCATTAAAATAAGCATGTTCCTAACGAAATTATTATTTTCAAGCATAGGAAGATCGATTTACTATGTTACCATATGTAATAATAGTTTATTTGTAAGCAAAAATGTTTTTCACCTCAGTGGAGTCCTTTTAAAACCTTACATTTGTGAACACATAATAGCGTAGGAATACATTTCACGAGAAACGGCTCATTTGCATATTGTTAGGATCTATGATAAATATGTCTAATGAGTAATCAAATTTACAAAAAATGACAAAAACTGCATGTTAATATAAAAACTTCTGGGATTGCATGAGTGCGGTGACTAACCTTTCAGAAATTCGTGTTGATAATCAAGGTTCATTTAAAAAGATTTAGATTAAATGTTTTAAAATATCTACAAAATAGTCTGATATGGATAAAAATAAATAAAACTTTTAATAGACTTCTTGATATTAATAAAAATTTATGAAAACAAAAATATCTAAAACGTTATGATATAAAATATGATAATGATTCCAATACCTTTATTACAAAACATATGCTATAGTTTAAATATCATTAAACATATTAAAAATTCTGGCGTATATTTTAGAATGTTGATGCATTTTATAGTTTATAGGTGAATGTTGAATGTACAATGTACGTATCATAAGTTATACAAGTTCCTGACGGAAGCTAAAGCCTTGGGCCATAATAATCTCATTCAGGTCATATGAACCGCGTCACAACAAAACCAACATAATGGGTTTGCACCAGCATGGATCCAGACCAGCTGCGCATCCGCGCAGTCTGATGTTCGCTGAAAGACCCTATAACAAGTAAAGAAACTGAAGCGAACAGCATGGATCCTAATCAGTCTGCGCAGATGCGCAGGCTGATCTGGATCCATGCTGGTCGTAAACCCATTATGTTGGTTTTGTCATTATTTCTTATATCCGTCAGAGCATGTATGACGAATTCACAATATCGTTATTCGCTGACGGTCAATACCGAATGATATTAACCTGAAAAAACTGTTCAAAAATTGTTCAGCAACATGATAACAAATTAATTATGGCGTATATTTGACGGCATGTTCATAGGAGACAAAAGTTGGGGGGATTTTCTTATAAACAATTTAAGTCATTATGGATTTGTTATAATGGTTGCTGAACAAGTTTTGAACAACTTCACCAGGTTTGTATCTCTATTTTAACCGTCAGTCGCAACGCAGGGAAATTGGTAGTAATACAAAAATTGAGAACGTTGAATGAAGGATATTGTAATTGTATTGTTAACAGGAAGACATCTTGATATATATTAATTTCTTAATATAAATGCGTGTTTATAATGAATAGTATTGATAGTTTTTTTTATATAAATAGGAAAATGAATTTTGATACAATTTGGTAATCTTTAAGGATTTTTATTGTATTCGGAGAATCTTGATACATTTTGACTCACGCAATGGAATGTATATTGAAGTGATTTAATATAAATTGTGGTCAGTGTTGTCTTAATAAGGTCTTTTCTTATTTTTTTTGCAAGGGACATATTCACTGTTTTAAACCATGTTTTACCAAGGTAAGTTATCGAGATCGACATTTCCTCCGCAGAGTATCACACCGACATTCTCCAGGTCTGAACTCATTTCCCGGAGCCTTGTCGACATAGCAGCAGCAATCGCTGCACCTGATGCACCTTCAATAACAACCTGAAAGTAAAAATAAATGGTAAAAAGCCTTACATTCTTCAAAAATCAAAACTTGGAAACATTTAATTATAAGACAGTAATACAAAAGAAAGAGTTATATTAAATGAGCGGTATTGTCTCCCGGATCCTTTCTTGAGTCACCGGTATGTAGCAAATTAGACGTGGGTTGCCTAGCTGATAAAAGATTTTGGTCCGTTATTAATATAATAGCTTTCAGGAATTTCTCATCCAGTAGCATGTGCCTGATTTATTTAATTTTATCAATATCATGAATTAACTTTGTTAACATTTAGAAGAATAATTGCTTCAGAACTGAAGAAGATTAAGAGTAAATTACAAACTTCCCTGAGTTTGACACCTTTTAATTATTAAAACATCATTTTCAGATTATTAATTTTGGCGCTCTTTAAGCTTTCTTTTTAATTAAACTTTGCAGTTGTCTTAGATGGAAACAAATAAAAAGTGCATTATAAGGAATGATTTATTTAGTTAAAACAGCATACGCAAAAAGAAAACACAAAAGGAATACCTTCATTCTCTCAAAGACAAACTTCATTCCCTTGATTATATCATCATTTGTCTGTAAAAAATAATTATTTATGATTTAAGAACATGATACATTCAAGGAAACAAATTCTTAAGTTATCAGCAATATGTATTTACATGTCAAATTATATTTGATAACAATATATTATGATATTTGTTTCAGATAATTTAAAAAAAATGAAATTAAGCATTACTTCTTTAAATAATAACTTTCTCTCATATTTGAAAGGCAATGTTAGTAATAAGATCATAATTCAAATAACAAATCGATTTTATTTATATTTTTGTTTCATGAAAAAGGCAGATTTAATCTTTCTTCATTTCCATTTGATTTGGGTGTAGGGATTTCTTCTTCATACTAGAAGTATTGAATATACACACGGTGATGTTCTGTGCTAGACAAGATTATTCTGTATACATGGTATAGATACAACAGAATCGCACAGAGACATACGCACAACAGTGTCAAACTAAAGTTTGCACAAAAAATACCTAAGCATAGGTATAACAAAAGTAGAATTATTGACCCTCGCTTTTACGTTGACGTTGATGTCGGTTTTTTTAAAAATGTTATGCTAAATTATACCCATGTTTTAATATATATTCACTATCATAATATGTCACCCTTACGGTGGGGCAGTAAATATCAAATTTCATTTTTTGCAAAGTTTAGCCTTTTTTACTTTGAATTTATTTAATAACCTTTAAAATCAAGATAAACATTTTATAAAGAGAAATATCAAAGGTATTCACAATAAACCTTGAATACTTGTTTAATATAAAATTTGAAATTCATTTTCTAAGGGTCAGATAGTCCTGAAAGACAAGTTTTTGCGGAAGATAATAATGAAGGCCATTTTCCTTATTTCTGTTTAAATAAACAAGTAAAAAAGTTGATTTTTTCATAGCAATTCACTTAAAGGAACATGTATATACTACATCTGCGTTTTTGCAAAATTATGCTCCATTTCCTTTTTTTTTTTTTTTTTGCTTTTAGTAACTTTTCAGCACTGTAGATGGTGCACAGACAGGTGTTTTATTTATTATAAATATTTATATTGCTTTTATTATTATCAACTGTATTTGTTGTGGTTAACTTATTTAGATATTTTCTGGTAAACAAAAATAAGACAAAAGATCACATCTTCATAATCATAAATGTAATATATTGCAAGACTATCAAACCAACACCGGTGTGCTCTAGTGATAAGTTTTCAAAAGGGAAATTAGACATTACATCCTCATCCATACATGATGGCAAGCGAGTTAATCGTACCACTGACCTTCCGTTACACTTACTTCTTTAGCAACTTATTGAATTTATTTCCGTTATTCCAGTGAACGTTTTAACCAATGTTCAGAGGAGTAACCTTCTGTCCCTTTACTGGATACTTTCCTCACATTAGATAATAGTACAAAATACAAATCTTTAAGACAGGTGCTTTAAAAACCACACGCCTTCGGAATAATCATCATGGCTTCAAACTGTTAGAGAATTTACCGCTGTGAAGACCTCTTTCTCGGCAAGACCAAGTATGATCGGCCAGGTCAAGTGTCCAAGTTGTTGTATTTTTATCCCTTCGGCAAGAGTGTTCACAAAACACGGAGGATTGGGCCAGAGCCTCGTACCTAATTGTGAATAAACTTAACTACATTGTATATGGTTAAAATCTTTGCGTAAAAATCACCAAGAAAGACTAACGTTTACGGATCGCACTTCCAATAATATCATGTTTTAAAATATTTAAATCTGTTGGATATTTAAGATTACTGAAAAATGTATTTGGACATCAGAACTATAATTACGCTCATTAGACGTGCAGTGTTAGATAAAGTTTATTTATTTCTGGGTGTATCTAATCTATAGTTTTAAGAAAATGACAATCAAGATAATAACGAAACTTGGCTTAATATAAATATTCAATGGTCTTTCGTTAAAGAGCTTTCAATGCAAGGCACAGAGAAAGATAGTGACGTCGTTGCTTTATGTTATGAAATATTCTTAGTGCATTACCTGCTCTCAAACATTTTTCGAGTTCTTTTCCATCTGGTTCGACAACAAAAACTGTTAAAGAAATTAAACTGACATTAGGCATATAATTGTTTAATTAAATATATATTTATAACAGAAGTGAGAATTTTAAGCCACTATAAACAATGTTTTATTTACCACTACTGTGATCAGTACGTGTACAGATGTTCATTATAAGAAGTTGGATATTTGAAAACCTTCGAAAGAAATGAAAATATCATCAAACAGCTGAGAATAGCAGACAAAATTATAACATTACTGATACGAGGTACGTCAACATCACGATGCCTTTATCACATGACTTTTTATGATGTGGGGTGAGATAGCAGAAAACCAATAGTCAAATTGGTCAAGTATTTATTTTCATAAAATGCCTCTTTAAAACTTCATCATTTATATGGGATTATGTGTAGAGCCAGCTCAATCAAGTGAGTTATTCATAAAATTGTTTACAAGTGAAGCAGTCTGAATATATGATTATCTAAACAAGTTGTTTCACTTTACTGAGTGGAAAAAATACTGTTTTCTGACACAAATAAATAAAAACAAAACATTTTAAAGTGACCTTATGCCCACCAAATTGTAAATAGTAAGACTACAGATAAAAATCAAAATAATTTTACCTTTAGTGATAATTATTTTCAACAAGATATTTTGCTTTACAAAATTTTATCAATAGCACGCTTGATACATGGACATTTTTATAAATATCATTTGTTATGTATAAGTGATTTCAAATGATAAAAAGAGTGGGACAGTCTTTTTACATGTAGGTCATTTTGATACATTTTACATTATCAATTATTGGTCAATCACAATTAAAAAGTCAACCTTTAAAATAGCTAATTCCGCTCAACCAACAACGACAAATGAGCATTATGTCACTTTAAGTATAGGTTATTGACTTGAATGAGCAGGCTTTTCAATTTAACTTATTATAATCAATGCATTTTTAAGAAAGAAATTAAATAAAATCTTAACACGACCGACTTTTTTTATCGGTTTCGGCGCATGCAGATCATAAAATGTCAAGTGGTATAGGCACCGTGAACGTTAACTATTAAAACAGCTGCCATGCTGCACTTGACAAATGCTTTAAAAAGTTTAATTCATCGAAAGAAAATACATGAACTTCTTCATTTCTTAATTTGATAATGATAATAATGACAATCATATATGAAGAACTTATGTTGTCCGATGTGGTTGTTGTTATTTACAATGCTGATAATGGTGATGATTACTTTTAATGCTTGGTTTAATAGCCTTGGCTGCGATCGCGATGCCAGCGGTCATGCCACCTTTACTAGCCGGTATGAGAATAGCATCAAGATTAGGAACGTCTTCTAAAAACTCTAATGCGATACTCCCCTGAAATATAAAGTATCAAAAAGCAGTAAGTTGTTTTTAAATAATAAAAAAGAAATCCCTGGAAGGGGATTTAGTTCAAAATTGTAAAAAGAGATCTTGAATCTTGCATTTGTTGACATATATCATATTATTTTTTAAAAAAAAACTCGTCAAAAATATATTATAAAGCTTACCATGGGATAGCTTTACAATAATTTATTGAACTCGTTTGATAAACAAAATTACATATATCTAATTAATATGGTAACACATGTAATATACATTATATACAGAAAGAAAAGATTTTCAAACGTATTACGCACACAGTAAATTCATGAAATTGAAATCGCGAATTCGTGAAGTTGCAATCGTGAAATCGTGAAGTTGCAATCGAGAATTCACGATGTTAAGATTGTGAACTCACGAAGATGAAATTGGGAATTCATGAAGTTGAAATGTCCCTTAACCGTCAACTCGTAGTTATATCATGATTTCAGACCCGAGATGATGGGTACAAAAAACTAACCGGAAGTACTAAATTATTGACGCTACAAGTAGCTCGAGGTTTTATTAAAAGATAATCACCGGAAATTGTCAAATTATGAAATTTTAACGAGAAATATGTTTGGGAAATGAAATATACAAAATAATAGTATCAATGTCAATGGATTACCAGATGAATAAGATGAATAACCGTTCATGAAACATACCGGTATTCAATTTGATTACTTTTAAGGTACATGTACACAATAATATTATGCTTCCACTGCAGTTTATTCATTCTTTAATTTAAATTAGACATATTCTGTAAGAATTTCACAGATTTTACTATTTTTTGTGATTGAAATATTTTACTCAAGGATGAGCGTAATGAGCATAGTATATCTTTTACTATTCATCACTCACCTGTCCTGCAATGATGTCATAATGATCTGCTGATGGAATGATTTCGTAGTTATTTTCTTCCGCAAAGCGCTTGGACGTTTCTTCCCTGTATTGTACATGGTACATATATTGTCCAAAAATTACACACATTAACGTATTTATCTATATATTAGAAAATACATCAACAGGTTACTTATATAAAATAAAAGTTTTTTTTTCAATAATGTAAATATTATCCTGCTTATCCCCCTTCCTTATCTTTTTTAATATGTTCAGTACAAATACATCTTATGTATGTTTATCTTTAATGCTTTTCCATAACATTTGATAAATATATTGCACCAATAATATTTAGAAAAATATCCCAGGAAACCTCGAAGTTAGCGTCGGTTCGCACAGGATGACATCTGCTCCATAACTTTTAATTGCACGTATTTTGACGACTGGTGTATCCTTTGGTGTAACTATAGTGCATTTCAGTCCCCGCATTTTTGCCACCCAGGCTAATGCTAGGCCATGATTACCACTACTATCCGCAGTCTATAATGATTCAAGATAAAAATTGTTTAACAAAACGGTATATTTTATTATTTACTCATAAAATTGAATGTAAAAATATTGATGGTTAAAAATACATATTTTCATATTCGCATTTTCCCAGTAACAAAATTAATTTTCAATACAGTGAAACATATTTTATGGAATTGTACTGCTATAATTCCGGATTACTTTCTTTTAAACTGATAGATGAATGATGAATATTGTTTTCATGATAAAAAATGATCTTTTATCTATAAACACGGGACTTTTAGTTTTACTGGTGGTGGGAAAATTATCATATTTATTTCCATACCACTCGATGAAAATACATTCCGTATGAATAGAAATGGAAAAAGAAAAATTGAATATCATCTCTATATATTAATATAATTAAAACAATGATGTTACTCTAATGGCAAAAGAAATGTAAAAAAGGTTAGTAATTAAATTAATACTCAGTTTCAGTAAATTGAAAAGACTGGTCAAATTTCGAATATGCTAAGAATATTGGTGTAAATCTATATAACTTTTGCTTAAAACTTTACCTCTTAATATACAATGCAATATGCACTTGACTTACCACGCCTTTAATTTGGTCCTTTGATCCCTCTAACTTAAATATCTAAAAAGCAAATAATATCATACTGAGATCAAACATTGGCGTATTAACCCTGGAGTCAGTCGTTAAAGTATGAAAGCAAAGATCAACAAGGCAGAGCGACGTTCATAGAATACAGATTCCAACAGATTTCGCCATAGAGAGGTATCGCAACGAGCAAAACAATTAGAGGACATACAGCATGGGACATTAAATGGGCGTATCAATAATGATAAGGAAATCCATAGATTCCTGAACGATGTGATTGTTAAAATGGTTGGAAAAGGTAATTAAATAAATTGAGTCGGGCAAGAAAATAAAAAATTTGAAATTGAAAAATACAGAAGGCAGATGAAGGAATGGATATACCATGGACGATAAACTTAATGAAATAGAGAAAAAACAAATGTTTTTTTTACAAAACAGGCCATACTCAATACAATACTGCAGAGACCGCACAAAGACCAACAAAAAATCTCTTTAATTGTTTTTAAAAAAGATGTTGCTCGTCTTCTAGTAAAGATGTTATGAAAATGACATTTTGTTAAGCAAATGATACGGTTAAAACCAACAAAATAATGGACAACTAATCCCATATGACTTCTGAATCAGTAGAGAGAGACAAAATTAATGACCATAAGTCTAAATACCACGTAGAAAAGAGATTGGACCAACAACCAAACAAAAACCTATAAAGACCGCATATAGACCAACAACGATCTTTTAAATTGTTAAATTAAAGGTGCATTGTGTTGTTTATCTTGAAGAAAATTGACCAACTGACTTGTTATAGACTTTCAGTTCTTTGTCATAAAACTAAAGTAGAATCAACACACAGCGAATGTCACTTTCCTTACTTGATCTTCACTTTTATATTCTAAATGTTAGCCGTTTACCATTAATAATGCAATATGCATGTATATCAATAACATTGTTTTGATACTGATATATATAAGTGATTAAAGAATACCGAAGCATTTTCATGTATTAAACTTTACAGATGGTACAACCTATCTTATAAATTTTGATGTATTCAAATCTTGTTTTGTCATAAAGTGTTTAAAATGGATTCATTTAACTATACAAGGTAAAACTGATATTTACTATTGTTGAATAGACATGAATTTTTTACATTAAATGAATAAATAAAATGAAACTTACAGCATTCAGGGCTCCTCTAACTTTGAAACTACCAGTCTTCTGTAGGTTTTCCGCTTTGAAATAAAACTTTTTTCCCGCCCCATATTCTCGGTCAAAAGTCTCAGAAGTCAGTACAGGCGTGCGGTGGATATGTGGACGAATGCGGTTGTGTGCATCTATTATATCCTTTATGGTCACCGGGAAAGTGTCAACTGGCATACTGGCAAATAGATAAACAATCAAATGTGTGCCACTATTACAAACAAACATTTCTTTGATATACTAGACTAAAAAACATATATATTACAAAATTAAAGAGAGAAATGTATCTTAACCGTCAAACAATGGAAATGGTCCTCACAAAGATGGTGTGAGGATACTGCTACCTAATTCTGCTTCTGTTTTGCTTATTGGTTCGCCCAACTATAAATTCTGTATCCTAAAATGACTGAATAACCCTCCTTGTATCAATTTGCTTCGTTTTTTACATTTGAAAATTATCGTCCAAGTCTAAGAAATCTAACTTAAAAAGAGAAAGTATTTCAGAGATATGCGAAGTTACAATAAGTGAATAAAAATGTTGTTGTTCTGTGCAAACTATGGTCAAACTTAACCTAAGTACTTATATATTTTTACAGTGAACTCGCGTAGAAATATCCTATGTCAAACAATGAGCGACTCGCCTAAAATGTGTTATTATCAAAGTAACGGACGACAGGCCGCCGTCTAAAAGGACTTGGTTTGAGCGACTTTTAGTTCTGTTGAAGAATGTGAATGACTCGTAACCATAAAGAGTTTTAGAGGCAACGAGCAACTCGCGCAGAAGAATGTTAGCACAACAGAGTGTAAAACAACAACAACTCCAGTATCGACGTGTAGTTTCATTGTATTCTTCCAACTCGCATAGAAAATTAATATTTGATGCAATAACAACAACACAAAAAGACTGAAAGTTGATAAAAAAAAACTTAAGCACCAAAAATGCCTCAACAACACATATACAGTATACAGCTTCATATCAGCAATCACGACAGTATCAAACTTCATTGAAATCTGAAAATGGTATGTTCATTTAACAAGTTTTTGACTAATACTATAGAGGCAACATGTTTTAAAATGCACCATAAAATCATATAATATATAAGCATTATCTAACATCAAAGAGCATATTATATAATCTTTATCAAACATAAGTAATCAAATAATGATTGTCTAGTATGATAAGTTTCATTTCAACTGTTTTATTACTATTTTTCTATAGTGTACAATAAATTATATTATTGTAGAATTGGTATAAACTATAAAGTTCTCTCAGTACTCTAAGTTATTTTTGCTTGCAAATAACACTAATTTCTATGGAAACCAATGAATATGGCAATTATTAATTCTATCAACTGTATAACTGTCTATAATTCAAATTTTTAAACTTTTGACAACTTTGTTAAGAAACTGTTAATTCTATCAGTCTTTGGTAGCTATGCCTAACAAAATAAAAAATGTCACAATACAGTTTTCATGGAACACAAAAGATACATATGAAAATACTATGCACTACTTGTAAAGTAAAATCAAATACAAAATTTAAAAACATTATTTGTCTATCAACCTCTTTCAAGTCTCTATAACTTTTATAGTATTGTTTTTTTTTTCAAATAGTCTGGTAGATGTCTTTCCATACAGAATTCTGTCACTGAAAGAAAATAGTGTTTCTCTATTTTTGATTTTACCCATCTTCAAAACTTGAATTTAAATTTTTCACTTTGGTAAATAGTGTAACACTCATTTAAAAAGATGAATTATTGTACTTTATTTTAATAAAAAAGTAATACATTGTATTTTATCATATTAAGATTTATTATGCCTTCCACTTGTATTTAAAATGATTTGAGGTATTTTATGACCTCCACTTGTATTTAAAATGATTTGAGGTATTATTATGACCTCCACTAAATTAAATACTTATGAACACAATTATATCAGTCTACTCCTGCACTTCCAGTGGGCACAATCTACTTATTGGACGCGTTATTTCTTTACCATTCATAAGAACGTCTGCAACACGTACACGTCCATCTTGACCGTGATGAACACGAATAATTCGACCCAATGGCCAACGTCCCCTTGGTGTATCTGGTTGAACAACAATAACAACATCATTTGGTTGTAAATCTCTTTGTACACTGAACCATAGTTTACGAGATGATAACGTAGCTAGCCATTCCTTTAGCCGAAGATGCCAGAAATGGCGTACACATTCCTGCAAACGTCTCCAGCGTTTTCGGGGATCAAACTTGGTGTAGTCTACAGATTCAGGAGCAAACTCCCCACATATTTGTCCAAAAAGGAAATGATTTGAAGTCAGTGGTACAATGTCCGATGGGTTAGCGGACTGATACGTAAGCGGTCTTGAGTTAATCAACGACTCTGCTCCAATGAAAGCTGTCATTAGTTCTTCATCACGTATGTCTGCACTATGAAGAATTGAAAAAAATGCTCGTTTAACTGCTTTGATCATGATTTCATGAGCCCCAACACAATATTGTGCACCAGGTGGATTAAAATCCCACTGAATTTCGTTATCAACCGTCCTACGTTTAATTTCAGAATGATCTAACGCACTAACCAACTCTTTTAATTCTTTAATTTCCCCTTCAATGTTAGTACCATTGTCAGATCTCATTGTTACAGGTAGTCCACGACGACTAACATATCGATAAAAAGCATTGAGAAATGAACTTGTATCAAGTTTATAAGCCATTTCAAGGTGAACAGCTCTTGTCGCAAGGCAGGTGAATAAACATAAATAACGTTTTTCTCTAACTTTTCCACGTCCTTGAATTGTTTTGAAAGGTCCATCATAGTCGACTGCTGTATTTGCAAATGCTCTCATTGGCATACCTATTCTAGCTGCTGGTAATGGTGACATAATTTGTTCGGCAGGTTTCGCTTTATTAATCCTACATATTGTACATTTCTTTTCAATTTCTGAAATTACTTCTCTTGCAGCAATTATCCAGTATTGAGTAGACAATAATGAAAGTGCGTAATAAGTTACACTATGTTTACCTTTCGCATGGTAACATTTTACGATTAATTCTGTCACAAAGCTATTTCTCGGTAGTAATATTGGATAACGACAATCATATGACACAAATTCAGCAAACATTAGTCTTCCTTCACATCTCAATATACTTTCAATGTCAATTTTAGGATTCAGTTTGATCAGTTTACTTTTATTTGAAATTGCTTTCTTATTCGATTAACATTTGTAGTCATCTTTGAAAATTGTTTTTTTGACAGTTGATTAGTATCGCAACTTCAGGATCGTGTACTTCAGATACATCCAGTTCACCAGAATTTCTATCAGACTTCATGCGTTTGCAGTTTTCAATAAAACGTTTTACCCAAGCATATACATGAACCAATTTGCTCCAATTTGAATAGTTTTTTGGATGCAGTCTGAAATTTTCATTAACAGTGTCATGAAATTGATGTTTTGTAAGAAAATTTGAAATTCAAGTTTATTCAACTGAGATTTCTTAATTTCAGAGTCATTACTTGTAATCTGTTCAGCATTTACAGTAGGCTATTTTGATTCATCTTCTAGCAGAAATTCTGGTCCATTCCACCACATATCATTATCTTTCAAAGCTTTCACTGAACTTCCACGACTAACGATATCAGCAAGGTTGTCGATACCATTCACATGACGCCACTGAACTGGTTTTGTTTAACCAACCCTATTTGCTGCAAAAGGTTTGAACAATAAGCTCCTATTCTTCTCCTATCCAGTGTTATACATTCATGCTATCTATCCATAATGTACAATTCTCTATGTTTATATTTAGTGCAGTACAAACAGCTACAGTTAATTTCATACACAGTACTGCAGCTAAAAGTTCAAGTCTTGGAATGCTAACAGTTTTCACAGGAGCTACTTTACTTTTGGACGCAACAAATCTCATCAATATGTCCTGATTTTTTTTTCACAACGTGCATATACAACTGCTTCATAGGATTTCTCGGAAGCATCTCCAAAAGCATGTAAAGTCAGATTCTTCACAGATGAGTATGACACAGGACTTATACATCTTGGAACTCTAAAGCACTCTAATTCATCTAGCTCATCATACCAACTTCTTAAAGATAGAGCAATTTCTGTGGGAACAAGTTCATCCCATTCTATTCCAGCTACCCACTTGCATCAAAGTTTTTGCTCTTATTATGTATGGCGCAATGAATCCATGGGGATCAAAAATTGAAGCTATTTTCTTTAATATAATTCTTTTGGTTAATTTCATATCACTTTCATCTGTTTTTTTTTTCAAGTTAAATGTGAAACAGTCTACATTTACTGTTGGTAGTTCATTTTTATGTAATTCAACTTTTGAAGCTCTATTTTCAGCTGGAATATTATTTACCACTTCAGGTGAATTTGACAACCATTTAAAAGCAAACATGTTAGCTTTTGACCATAGTTCAGATAGTTGATGATATAGCTCTATCCCATCTTCAGGTGTAGCAACAGAATCCATGTTGTCATCCATGTATGTTGACTTCAGGATTACTTCTGAAGCTCGAGGAAATTCATTCCTACACAATTCTGCGTTTTTTCGAGCCACTAACTGTGCTAGAAAAGGCGATGTGTTTACGCCGAACACCAGTGAATTAAATTGATAGCAAATTGGCTCGTCTAATTCCGACGAAACCTGTGATAAGGGCGACCTTTTGGGCAAAGTCCCACTCTCATATACATTTCTTCTATGTCACAGATAAAACCGACTTGTTCTTTGCGAAATCTTAACAGTACATTGAACAGTTCATATTGAAGTTTTGGTCCAGGATTTATGGCATCATTTAAACAAATATTGTTATATTTTGCTGCGGTTCTAACTTTTGTAGTTCAAGATCCATTTTTGTCATAGGAAAGTGTGGCAAGTACCAAGCAGAATATTCATTGTTTATTTCATTATTGCTGATTTTGGAAATGTACCCTTTTTCCAAATATTTTTGTATGGTGATTTCATATTCAATTTTTACAGTTTCATTCTTAGCTAACTTCTTTTCCGTATTTTTCAATCATTTCAAGGCAGCTTCATAATTACACACATCATCAAGTTCAGTTTTTCTCCCATTCCTAGGAATGGACACTTGGTATTTTACTGACTCCTCCAATTTTAATGCACTTTCCACAAATTTCATGATTTTATCATCTTCTGA